GGGAGAGTTGCAGCGTCGACTAGAAAAACTTACACGGGGGCTTGGAACATGTGGATAAAGTGGAGGGAACGAGTGCAGAAGAGCCCATGGATTGCGAAGGGGTCAGAGGAAGGGGAGATAGTGGAGGAGCTGGCGGAGTACATGGCTTACTGTAGTGCGTTCCTAGGAAATAGGGATTCGACGATAATGGGGAAGCTCGTGGCGGTAAACTTCTATCATCAACAGTTTCAGAACATGCCTTTGCCGTTGAGTAACCCGTACATCAAAGGGGTAGCGCAAGGTATTAAGAGAGGGCACGTGGAGAAAGGCACACAAGCTAGAGTGAGGAGACCTTTGACATGGGGAATGTTGAGTGCAATGCAGCAGAGTGTTGGCGGTGAGGGTGCAGGGGGAAGAGTGCTATGGATCGGATTGGCCTTGACATATCTGCTGCTGTTGAGGGCGTCAGAGTTATTTGCGGAAAAGGATGGGAAAATCCACGAAGAGTACTGCCTGTGCAGGGGGGATGTGGCATTCTTCGAGGGCGATAAGCAGCTGGAAGGTCCGGAGAGGTTAAGGGCAGATAAGATAGAAGTGCAGATGAGAGGCTCGAAGGGAGATCAAGGGAGGAAAGGAGCGGTGCTGGCCAGGGAGAGGGGGAGGGCGAATGGAGCGGTGGAATTGATGTTGGAACTATTCGGGATTTATGGAAGGGAAGGACTAAGTGCAACGGCACCATTGATGGTACACAGAAGGGAAGGGAAGTGGGAGGTATGGCAGAGAAGGAAGGCGACAGAGCAGATGAGGAAGGGGATAAGAGCGGTGTCAAAGATGTGGTCGAAGGAAGGAAAAAGGGCAGGGGCGAAGCTGAAACCGGAAGAGTTCGCGTTACATTCGGGAAGGATAGGTGGGGCGACGAGGTTGGCCGCGAAAGGGGTACCGGAGGCTGTGATAAAGAAGGAAGGGAGGTGGTCGTCGAACGCATTCATGGCATACGTGAGGGCGAATATGCAAGACCCAGCATGGGTGTCGGCGGTGTTGGAAGAAGGGGAAGGGGTATTGGAGAGACAGCCGGGGCAAGGGACGGAATGGGGAAGAAATAAGGAAGAGGGATCCAGACTTCGTGATGGATGGGAGGTTTGTGTCCAAGCTGGGCGACCAGCGGAATGTCGTCAGCCTGGTTCTTATTACTTAAGGAAGCGTGTGGATTCCTTAGTAGGCAAAGGGCCGAGAAGGAGGGAGAGAGTTCTACCTCCAAGACCCGGCCTTTGCGCGGCGACACAATAATAAAAATGGCATTTTTCGGGAAGTGAGAGACAAAAGTGAAAGGTTGTGTTGTACAACCTGGTGTTTTGGCAGAACGGTTAGAAAGATTAAAGGGGGCACCGTAGGTAAGAGATAATTGATAGATAGGTAGGCATGTGTACCGGAAAGAAAAGAAAAGAAAGAGATGCACCTTGCCCACAACAGAAGAAACATCTGAACGAAAGAGCAAGACAACAAACAAACAAGAGGAGGAGGGGTAGAAGAGATACAGAGGAGGAAGAAGAAGGAAGCGAGAGTACGGAAGGGAGGAGACAGACAGAGAAAGAGAGCAAGAGCATCGTCGGTTCATTTTTTTTTTTTTTTTTTTTTTTTGAAGCCGAGGTAAGCGTGTCTCGGGCGGAAGCTAGACATGGGTAGCGTCTTCTAGGCTGAAGCAGGGCATGGGAAGGCAAATGATGGAAAAAAAAAAGGGTCAAGGTAAGCGTGTCTCTGGCTGCTGAGCAGCAGGGCACGGAACGACCGGTTAAGCCGAGGTAAGCATGTTGTTGGCGAGAGCGAGACATGGAAAGGCCAGAAGGTCGAGGAAGCATGTTCTAGGCTTGAGCAGGGCATGGAAAGGCTGAATAATGCGAAAGGTGTGGTCAAGGTAAGCGTGCCTCTGGCCAAAGGGCAGGACATGGAACGACCGGTAAGCCGAGGTAAGCGTGCTCGGGCAAAAAGCGAAGGCTTGAGCAGAGCATGGAAAGGCATGGAGGTTTGTGGGGAGGTTTGTGTCCAAGCTGGGCGACCAGCGGAATGTCGTCAGCCTGGTTCTTATTACTTAAGGAAGCGTGTGGATTCCTTAGTAGGCAAAGGGCCGAGAAGGAGGGAGAGAGTTCTACCTCCAAGACCCGGCCTTTGCGCGGCGACACAATAATAAAAATGGCATTTTTCGGGAAGTGAGAGACAAAACTGTGAATTAATAGAGTATCCCGCTCAACTTTTTTTTTTTTTCGCGGCATGTGGTCGCATATTTCTTTGCCACTGCCGAAAAAGACCGCTGGATCTTTACGCAGTCCACCTTTTGCATTTATCATTTTACACTGAACGACGCAGGACGGGTCGACTTTCATCGTTGTTGTTGTTGCTGTCGTCTCCACATTAAAAACCGTTCCGACGTTTTCCTCGATACTTGTGGACTACCTGTTGGAAATTGTGGGAAGAATCCCTTCATTCTGAGAGAGAGAGCCATAGGTCGCCATCTGGCCTTTTCTTTTTTTGTATGACCTTTTTTTCTTCTTGTGAAGTTTTGACGTTGCGCTTGCCATCGTCGCCGCATAATAAGTGTTTGTGTCTTCAAACCTTCTCAGCCGGCCTTCAAACTTCTTGTTGATAAGTCTCCGTATGGTAACTTCTCCGCGCATGAGTCATATGCAGCTATGACCTGCGCTTTGACTTTCACGATGGGTATTTTACCTCCCCGTCTTGCGTTGGTGAGTACCTGCGATATACAGGAGGATCGCTCCACGACGCAAACAAACGTCGACGTCTCCGTTTTTTTTTTGTTCCCTTCGCACTCCATCCTTGCGGCGGTTTTCACACCGACTTCGAACGAACGTGGGGTGCAATTTCCTCTCTTCGTACCTTCCTCGTCGGCCTTCTCCGTCGTTGGTTGTGTACATAATGTATACCTCGATTTTTCGGCTTTTCGATTCCGATAGACAAGAATACGGACTGACATGTTCCTTTCACCCCCGACGGGACCGCGCGCTCGTCGAGTGCCGAAATTCTTCATCACTTCCTTGCCTCTCCCAACACCGTCCCTTCTTCCCGCCCTTACAAATAAATCCTCTCCCCATCTTCTTCTTCTTTCCGTCCTCCCGGTCACTCACCACCATCCGTCCTGGATGTTGGCCCCCAGCCCCATTGGGGGGCGGGGGGCCAATCCTTAACCCTAGTATATACATACCCCCAGTCGAACGGGATGTATGTGGTGGAGTCTTTTCAGTGAGTGGAGAAAAACCGGCTGAATACTGGACTTATTTCGAGTCTATACACTATACACGCTGATTATTTGATGATGATTTATTTCAGTTTTGAACGATCACGGCAAGCGGCGGGCTATTCGAAAAAGGCAGCTACGATTGGCTTGCACGTTGCACCAGGCTGAACCAATCAATCCAATCAACAAAAAAATCTCGCCGCATCTGGAGGCGGGGAAATGAGACCGTGGGCGAAGGTGGTCCTGTGTGATCCTGTGATTGGCGTGCGTCTGTCTGCAGCTCGACCGAAGCCTACCGCCTACTCAATAGGGACGTGCTTTTTGTTCGGTTGTTCGAAGAAGGCCTACGTAAGATAACCTCAGCTCACTGTTCATAGATGTGCTATCTATCAACATGTCGTAGCTGTGTTCAAGGCTGTAGGCATTCTGACTGGGGGGGAAACGGCATCTGTTTCGACGATTCCGCCCCTGCGACATGCTCTTGTGATGCTGGCTTCGCTTCGCGTGATGCCTTCGGAGATGCCAGCTGCGTCCCAGAACGAGTGCTCGTCACCGGCTACATCGTGTTGGCTGCCGGGTCATTTGTTCTTGGGGTGCTTCTCGTCTGGCACACTGTTCAGTATCGCTACCTCCGTACCGCCACGCGGAGATCGACGAACCGCATGAGGGCGCTCGTGTCGTGCAGGTAGGTTCATCACGAACGCTACGAAAAAGATGGATGCCGCACGTTGCCCGCTGTACCGGGTTGAGTAAAAAATCTCGCATCCCAAACAAAAAGGAAGGCACTACAGCACAGCAGTACACCGCAGTATTGTCCAATGTTTTGTCCACCAGTCTATCGTGCCGTACGATGGAGCACACACACAGCAGTCGGCCACGAAGAATATGTAGGCAGACGTAGACTTTACTGCGCTTGGACTGCCTGTAAAAAGGTCGTTCAAGCGAGAGCCCCTTCTTGTGTCGAGAATATTTAGATCTATTCATACAGTCAGTTCTATATTGCCTTTCCAAGAGCCCGCAACCAGTCAGTTCTTTCTGCTTATGACGGCAGTTTGGACGTTGCCCGCTTGCCAACGCGCCGCCACATAGACTATTCTGACGGAAGGTCCTATCTCATTTTGCCCATAGCGTACCACAGCGAATAAAAGTGTAGGCTGCTTGACTGAGTACTTGTGCTTATTATGGCCAAGTTCTTAGATGTTGAATAATTCATAAGCTCAAGTTCTAAACAAGTATAGTCTATGTCCCAATTATTTGGTGGCGCTTTCGTCCTATATGTTGCGCGTCACCGATTTGATATATTTTCTCTCATGACGTCTCCACTGGGAAAGAAAGCAACAACAGTACCTGACGTGTCTAGTGGCCTTGTACCGGAGCTGAGCCATTTGTGGTTCACATGAAAAAGTTCGCGAGGCGATCAGACGCTCTGAGATTGAGTTGATGAGGGTCAAGACCTCGAGAAAAAAGTCGATGCTGGTGGGAGCTATTAATAGTTCCCCCCCCCACTGAATGAAGCAAATAGTCATAATAGTAGCCTACTACATACAATAATCAAGGAACCCCCCCCCCACCCCACCCGAGCCCTCCCCCCCGGTGTTTGCCATCGGGGTTGGGT